AGAGAGGATGAGAGAGAGACAAAATAAAAGACAAAGACAACGAGAGAGAATGAGAGACAGACAGAGGGAACAAAGACACAACAGAGAATGAGAGAGAGAATGAAACACAAAGACAACGTGGGAGATGAGAGACAGAGAGGGAATGTGAGAGAAAATAAGAGACAAAGACACAAGATAGAATGAGAGACTGAGACAACATGAGAAATAAGAGAGACAGAGAGAGAATGAGAGAGAGACAGAGAGAATAAGAGAGACAGAGATAGAGAGGGAATGAGAGGAGAACGAGAGACAAAGACACAACATGAGAGAATGAGAGACAGAGAATGAGTGACGAAGACACAATAAGAGAGAATAAAAAAGAGAGAATGAGAGAGAGAGAGAGACCAAGACAGAGAGAGATAAAGAGAAAAATGAGACACAAAGACACAACGGGAGAGAATGAGAGACAGAGACAGGGAGAATGAGAGACAAAGACACAACGAAAGAAAATTAGAGAGAGACAGAGAGAACGAGAGAGAGAGAGAGAGCGAGCAGAAAATAAGAGACAAAGACATAACGAGAGAGAATGAGAGAGAGACAGAGAAATATTGAAAGAGAAACAAAGAGAATCAGAGAGAGAGACAGATAGAAAGAGAGCCAGAAACAAAGAGATATGTGATATAAAGACAAAACGAGAATGAGAGACAGAGAGAGGGAATGAGAGACAAAGACACATTGAGAGAGAAATAGACAGGCAGAGAGAATGAGAGAGGGATAGAATGAGAGAGACACAGAGAGACAGACACAACGAGTGAGGATGAGAGGCAGAGAAAGGGAATGAGAGACAAAAACAACGAGAGAGAATGGGAGAGAGATACAAAGAGAGAATGAGAGAGAGAGAGAGAGTATACGAGACATGCAGTACTCTTTGGCTAGCTATATGATCTGCGTTGCGTGGGATACTGCATGTCGTGTTTATTCCATAGCTATATGATCTACACTGTGTGCGGTACCTCATGTCTCATATACTCCATACCTGTATGATCTTCCAGAGACCATATACCGACCATATATCGGTAAATGGTCTCTGGATCTGCTTTGTGTGGGGTTGTGCATATCCCGTTTACTCCATATCTACTTGATCTGCGTTGTGTGGAATACTGCATATCTCGTTTACTCCATACCTACATCATCTGCGCAGATCATGTAGCCGTTGAGTAAACGAGATATGCAGTATTCCACACAACGCAGATCATATAGCTATGGAGTAAACGAGATATGCAGTATTCCACACAACGCAGATCATATAGCTATGGAGTAAACGAGACATGCAGTATTCCACACAACGCAGATCATATAGCTATGGAGTAAACGAGACATGCAGTATCCCACACAACGCAGATCATATAGCTATGGAGTAAACGAGACATGAAGTATTCCACACAACGCAGATCATATAGCTATGGAGTAAACGAGACATGCAGTATTCCACACAACGCAGATCATATAGCTGTGGAGTAAACGAGACATGCAGTATTCCACACAACGCAGATCATATAGCTATGGAGTAAACGAGACATGCAGTATTCCACACAACGCACATCATATAGCTATGGAGTAAACGAGATATGCAGTATCCCAAACAACCCAGATCATATAGCTATGGAGTAAACGAGATATGCAGTATTCCACACAACGCAGATCATATAGCTATGGAGTAAACGAGACATGCAGTATTCCACACAACGCAGATCATATAGCTGTGGAGTAAACGAGACATGCAGTATTCCACACAACGCACATCATATAGCTATGGAGTAAACGAGATATGCAGTATTCCACACAACGCACATCATATAGCTATGGAGTAAACGAGATATGCAGTATTCCACACAACGCAGATCATATAGCTATGGAGTAAACGAGATATGCAGTATTCCACACAACGCACATCATATAGCTATGGAGTAAACAAGATATGCAGTATTCCACACAACGCAGATCATATAGCTATTGAGTAAACGAGACATGCAGTATTCCACACAACGCAGATCATATAGCTATGGTGTAAACGAGATATGCAGTATTCGACACAACGCAGATCATATAGCTATGGAGTAAACGAGATATGCAGTATTCCACACAACGCACATCATATAGCTATGGAGTAAACGAGATATGCAGTATTCCACACAACGCAGATCATATTGCTATGGAGTAAACGAGACGTGCAGTATGCCACACAACGCAGATCATATAGCTATGGAGTAAACGAGATATGCAGTATTCCACACAACGCAGATCATATAGCTATTGAGTAAACGAGACATGCAGTATCCCACACAACGCAGATCATATAGCTATTGAGTAAACGAGATATGCAGTATCCCACACAACGCAGATCATATAGCTATTGAGTAAACGAGATATGCAGTATCCCACACAACGCAGATCATATAGCTATGGAGTATATGAGACATATAGTACCCCACACAACGCAGATCGATCATGTAGATATGGAGTATACGAGACATGCAATACCGCACACAACGAAGATGATAGAGTCAGTGAGTATACGAGACATGCAGTACTCCCTACAACGCAGATCATTCACGTATGGAGTATATGAGATATGCAATACCCCTCAAAACGCAGATCATATAGGCATGGAGCATATGAGACATGCAATACCCCCCACAACGCAGATCATATAGGCATGGGGCATATGAGACATGCAGTACTCCCTACAACGCAGATCATATAAGTATGGAGTATATGAGACATGCAGTACTCCCCACAACGCAGATCAAGCAACCTTTGTGTGATGAACCTGAATCGTGTCTAAGCAGTCATCACCGGTAACCTTACCAAAACATTCCCAGGCGATGGCAGGCACATGTCTATCATTACATATCTGTGTTTTGGGAAGACAGGTTGTCAGTGTTCATGTAGTGACAAAAAAAGGGCCTAAGCTTGGACAAATTGTCTGTCGTAGCAAGTTTGTTTACAGTTGTACAAACACCACTGAATACTCTGATTGTATGATGTGTCAATTTGGCAGTAGACGATGGCTTCAGTTACCCAGAGATATTTCCATGTTTCACATATGGCACGAATTACTACGTTCAGATCTTGACTGAAAATGGACAACAGACTACGAAGCGAGGCCACCTCCCATGCTCACTGGAACTAGCACAAAAAGTACACGTGCTTGATACAAGCATGGTGTCTGAAGCTGAACCATGTTGGCTGGAGCTTTCACAAATGTATTCGTGCTGACGCAACCATGTTGGCTGCAGCTTTCACAAATGTATTCGTGCTGACGCAACCATGTTGGCTGGAGCTTTCACAAATGTATTCGTGCTGACGCAACCATGTTGGCTGGAGCTTTCACAAATGTATTCGTGCTGACGCAACCATGTTTGCTGGGGCTTTCAGAAATGTATTCGTGCTGACACAACCATGTTGGCTGGAGCTAGCACAGATGTTCACGTGCTTGACACATCCAAGTTGGCTGGAGCTAGCACAAATGTGTACGTGCTTGACATAACCATGTTGGCTGGAGCTTTCACAAATGTATTCGTGCTGACGCAACCATGTTGGCTGGAGCTTTCACAAATGTATTCGTGCTGACGCAACCATGTTGGCTGGAGCTTTCACAAATGTATTCGTGCTGACGCAACCATGTTGGCTGGAGCTTTCACTAATGTATTCGTGCTGACGCAACCATGTTGGCTGGAGCTTTCACAAATGTATTCGTGCTGACGCAACCATGTTGGCTGGAGCTTTCACAAATGTATTCGTGCTGACGCAACCATGTTGGCTGGAGCTTTCACAAATGTATTCGTGCTGACGCAACCATGTTGGCTGGAGCTTTCACAAATGTATTCGTGCTGACGCAACCATGTTGGCTGGAGCTTTCACAAATGTATTCGTGCTGACGCAACCATGTTGGCTGGAGCTTTCACAAATGTATTCGTGCTGACGCAACCATGTTGGCTGGAGCTAGCACAAATGTATTCGTGCTGACGCAACCATGTTGGCTGGAGCTTTCACTAATGTATTCGTGCTGACGCAACCATGTTGGCTGGAGCTTTCACAAATGTATTCGTGCTGACGCAACCATGTTGGCTGGAGCTTTCACAAATGTATTCGTGCTGACGCAACCATGTTGGCTGGAGCTTTCACAAATGTATTCGTGCTGACGCAACCATGTTGGCTGGAGCTTTCACTAATGTATTCGTGCTGACGCAACCATGTTGGCTGGAGCTTTCACAAATGTATTCGTGCTGACGCAACCATGTTGGCTGGAGCTTTCACTAATGTATTCGTGCTGACGCAACCATGTTGGCTGGAGCTAGCACAAATGTATTCGTGCTGACGCAACCATGTTGGCTGGAGCTTTCACAAATGTATTCGTGCTGACGCAACCATGTTGGCTTGAGCTTTCACAAATGTATTCGTGCTGACGCAACCATGTTGGCTGGAGCTAGCACAAATGTATTCGTGCTGACACAACCATGTTGGCTGGAGCTAGCACAAATGTGTACGTGCTTGACACAACCATGTTGGCTGGAGCTTTCACAAAAGAATAGGGGGCACGCTGTGCAGAGTTGCGTCCCTTGGGCACGCAAGAAACCTATGATTGTGGGTTCGAATCCCGGTTCGCCCCGATTATGTTTCTAGGTTTGTCAGCACCATACCCGTGCTCGTGGGTTTCACCGAAGTGGTAAACGTCTGAGACCTGCATCACTTCGGGCTTTCCTCCCACATTAAGCTGACACGCCGCGATATAACTGGAATACTGTTAAAAGCGGCGTTAAACCAAACTCACTCACTCACTCACTCACAAAAGAATACGTAATTGACACATCCATGTTGGCTGGAGCTAGCACAAATGTTCACGTGCTTGACACAACCATGGTAGTGAAGCTGGCACAGGCAGGCTTTCTGAAACTACCATGATGTATATAGGCGCGTGACATAACCATGGCGACTAAAACAAGAAACAGACAAGGTAACAGTATGCTGATGCATTTTATTGATCACTGACGTGAATGCCGACTGTTCTTGGTATACAGCTGCCCGATATATCTGCCACTTCATACCGTTAAGCTGGACAATCGGATTCATTGACTGAAAGAACAAGGGGGGTCATAAGCTCATATATTTCCATATGGACACAATACACATAGCAATAGCTTTACTCAGGGTGTAACCCGAAGCAACAGATCCACTCGCGATGAATACATTGACATCATCAAAATAGTTCAAGATCACAGAACACATACAGTCGAATCTCTCTAAATCGGTTTTTTGTTTTATGCGATCATGCACAGTAGAATCTATCCAAACCGGATTTGCATGGGGTAATGAACGTTTTCCTGTTCTGAGACATCCTGATAAGTTATGTCCCTTGCTGTTGTGAATTAAAGTTTAAAAAGAAACCACTTGATTTGAGCACATTTACATGGGATCTGATGAAGGATTCGTAAGACTTAACTTGTGAGAAATGAACGTAGGGACCGTACAATTGGTTCGGTTTTTACAGCGGTTCGGGGGGCGGTTAGTGGTTAAAGCGTTCGCTCGTCACGCCGAAGACCCGGGTTCGATTCCCGACATGGGTATAATGTGTGAAGCCCGTTTCTGGTGTCCACCGCCGTGATATTGCTGGAATATTGCCGAAAGCGACGTAAAAATACTCACTAACTCACTCTGATGTATGCCAAGTGAGCTTTTAGCAATAATCCAGCAATATCACGGCGGGGGACACCAGAAATGGGCTTCACACATTGTACCCATGTGGGGAATCGAACCCGGGTCTTCGGCGCGACGAGCGAACGCTTTAACCACTAGGCTACCCGACCGCCCCTGATGTATGCCAAGGGAGACTTAGCGATCGACCATTTGATTGTCCAAGAAAATGCTTAAACAAAACACAATGCTTCAGGCTGCCTCAATAAATATTGTTGCAAGATGTATTTTTGAAAAACATATCTAGGCTCAAAGTTTTAATTAAAACAATAACTGGTTTTATTTGGTAGGGTCTTACGAAAAGCAAGAAATCTATTTGCTCTGGGTTTTACAGTCATATCAAACCTACCAAGTTCACATATCTTGTTATCCAGAATGTCAAGGATGGTGCTCAAGGCATTATAGCTTGTGGCCCTAACTACATTAGACGAGTTTCCAGCTATGTTTCGCAGCTCTGTTGTCAGGATTCTGTTTCCAACACCGATAGCGAACATGTTGATGTCGTCATCTCGAGCAAGAGCTGCTTCTGTGCTTGTTTTCTGTGGTTCATGGGAGTCACCGTCGGTCATTACAATGGCGATATGGGTAGCACTGGGTCGTCTGTGAGCCAACATTTGTTCCACTCGCATGAAGGCAATTCCGAGACCTGTGTCAGTTCGGTCGCCAGCTGCGAAGGGAACAGCAGATATGGCGTCCAGGACGCCCTGTTTGTTGTTGTGGGTGTTGAAGTAGAAGGCGGAGTTGTTATAGGTGCCGTGCGCAAAGGTGATGAGGGAAAAACGCGCCTGATTTGGAGATACGTTGAACTTTCTGACAAAGTCCTTGGCGAACTGCAGACTCTGGTTGAAGACGGCAGGACGCCCGATGCTCACTGATGCATCAAGGATAAATGAGATGTCGATAGGCTTGTCACGGCACACTGTGGAGGAAGTAATATTGTTACACATGGACATATAAACATGCACGATAAACATGCAATTCCAACATGCAAAGTCAAGTTTCTACTTTTAACACGTGGTCACAAACCGATATCTCCCCTTTCAGTCAATTCTTTAGCTACTATGAGCAGTAATATTATGTGAGACATAGAAAATAATTGCAAATGGTGAGGTGAGAAGGGGTGAAATTGGGTTTAACGTCGCGTCTAAGATTATTGCACTTATATAGCGGTGTGTGTGTGTGTGTGTGTGTGTGTGTGTGTGTGTGTGTGTGTGTGTGTGTGTGTGTGTGGCTGCTTGTACTGGTCCGGACTGATGCCGAATTATAGTGCTAGCTCACTGAGATACCATGCCGCAGTTTAACATGAATACCCCACACAGACACAGTATACTGACTCTGAGCCGACCAGTCCTTGTCTTAGCCCCTTGATGCCGAGCGCCAGACAGGGTAACGTCTTTTGGTATGACGCGGCCGGGGAGTGAACCCCGGACCTTCCGCTCTCCGGGAAGAGGCTCTACCACTAGACCACGGGGGCGGTCAGCATATGGTAAGACTAACATCAGAGAAACAGCATGCGGATTACATTCCACGGAATTAAAATTTTAATCCCTTAAGTTTCGAACTCTGGATTTTCTGCGTGAATTATAATCTAAGCAACTCATTAGAAAATCGTCAAATGTTCACCTACCCACTACTGGAGGCTCCACTGCAAAATAACAATGTCAGGACTTAGAAACAGTTTTGAAAGGCATATAGTCCAAGAGATAGGGTATGTTTATTTACCCCGAAAGGTCCATATGGTTTGAATACTTGTAACATTTGCATTATGTCTGGGCTATTCAAAAACATATTTCTTACAAAATACATCTTGACCATTTTACCAGTAGGGGGCGTTAAAGGCATGACTCAGCACTTTTTCCTGAAGGTGACAGTATGTTTTCAGAGATGATCAGGATATGTATGTGTTACCTATAGTTGTCAAATTCTATGTTAAATCAAATCTTGAAAGATGATATTTTATTATGAAAACAAAAAAATGACAAATTGTATTTAATTTATATATTTTTTTTACAGTCAAAATGGCAATTTGAGTTAATCTTTTGTAAACTTCAACTTTTGATTTGATTCATAACGAAACTATTCCCCAAATTCATGAAACTTATGTCAATTTTGTTAGAATGGGGCATAGCCAGTACAAAACACTGCAAAGGTTATTCATTTTCTGGCAAAAACGTAAACTAGTGCTACTTTTATAATACTCTATAATATTTTAAATACACCAAAGGGAGATAACTCCTCCTTCAAAATTTTCTATTGTAGCTATCATTCGGGGTTCGCTGTCTAAATGTATAAATGACCAAGCATAACATTATCTTTGTGTTGAATTAGACAAGGCAAGTAGCTGAATTTAGACAAGTTCATGAATTTATCAACTCGGTGGAAGTAAGGTAAACAATCTTAACCTCAACAACAATCAAGTCAACGCACCATGACATGTTTCGTTGGCAAGCTGTTCTTTGATGGTGTTCAGGGAACCGTAGTTGGAGACGGTGAACACGTTTCTCTCGCCGCCGGCAATGTTCCTGAGCTCCTGTTGGGACACACCGCCGACCCCTATGGCAATCATCTCCATCCCAGCCGCTCGGGTAAGGTTGGCTTCTCGATGTGTCTCGCTTCCATCATAGGAGTTGCCGTCAGTCAGCACGATACACACTTTCTTCACCCCCGCGCGGGCTTGAGGGAGGAACGTGTCCCTTACGTACTTGATTGCCTTGCCGGTCTCTGTGCCCCCACCCCTTTGTCGAATCGCAATGATTCCTTGTTGCAAGTTGGCTAGGTTGGTGTGTTCAGCAAAACCAAAATCATCCTGCGTGAATACATTGTCAGCAAATGCAACAGCAGCAACGCGTGCCTGACCCGGCCTGATGTTGAGAAGGGCAACAAACTCCTTCACGAATGTTATCCCCTTACTAAAATCAGCTCTCCTTATGCTTGTTGAACCGTCGATGACAAAGGCTACGTCGAGTGGCGTGTGCCTGCATGCTGAAAGATATTAACGTGCCAGAATGTATGCGAGTACCGAAGCTAAACCGAGAAGGACATTAGAAACTCTCAGTTGATTTGATTAAATGTTTGATTATCAATTGAAAATATCTGAAGGTAGCAATATTATTAAATGAATGTTTGCATGATACACAACTGCTGGTGGCTATTTTTACATCATTTCTTTGACAATCAATAAATTTCTTTTTTTTCGGTTCAAATGTACAACATTTCAAACATGGTAGGGGTCACGTGGCTGCTAATTCATTTCTAACCCCTCCATTGAACAAATGTAATTTGACACAACATTACCCAACCGCAGATTACTTTGTACAAGCTGTTGTAGGAATGAGTGATATTTAAATAGACATAATTAGATTTAACAACAGCTGCGTTAATTTTCAATTACAAACAAAACAATGTAGGTGGACTTTCTTTTATCCGTCAGTTTATAGTCCAGCTATGAAGAAACATTCTCAAGCCTTTTAAACCAGGGATGACTGCATGGTGAGTGAGTGAGTCTGGTTTTACGCCGCCTTTAGCAATATTCCAACAATATCACGGCAGGGAAAACTAAAAACGGCCTTCACACATTGTACCAATGTGTGGGGAATCGAACCAGGGTTTTCAGCGTGGCGTGCAAACACGTTACCCACTAGGCTACCCCACTGGGCTGGTGGTATCGGCAAGGATGCCACGGCAGGCTGATACTTTAGTTAAGTCACACGTTGTTCCCACCCGATCAACACGAGACGGCCTTTAAGAAAAGTATGAGGTTCTGTAGAAACATGATTATACGATAGTTGGATGTTCCACAACTACAATAGTTTTATTCTTTTAAGCATTTTCGGATGGTTGTAAATGTGACATATATACAAAACATAGTGTATTTCTTCTACCGTGTGTCAAGTATTGTAATACTCTCATTTTCAAACCAAAATTTACACAATATATATCTACATCACAACAAAGTCCCCAAAGCAGAGGCAAAAGTACTGTATGAACAAGTAACCGTCGTTGATGGTGTTCAGGGAATTGTAGTTGGAGACGGTGAACACGTTGCTCTCGTCGCCGGGACACACTGCCGACCCCTATGGCAATCATTTCCATCCCAGCCGCTCGGGTAAGGTTGGTTCCTCGATGTGTCTCGCTTCCATCCTGGGAGTAGCCATCAGTCAGCACGATACACACTTTCTTCACAGCCGCGCGGGCTTGAGGGAGGAACATGTCCCTTACGTACTTGATTGCCCTGTCGGTCTCTGTGTAACCGTCGTTGTCAAAAGGACGGTTGTGTAGTAATTTCAAATTTGGTTCAAATGCTCACCCTGGGCCTTATTCAGATACACTGGTTCATATCGTCCCTTTCATATTTAGATCTAGTCATATGATCCAGAGAAACAACACACTATCTACAAGATTGTATGACTAGAGGATGGTTCAACATTCCAGTTATCAACTTTCCATTTCTATCGATCAATATTCCAACAGCTCCAGCCTTTGGTGCCCACATTTTACAACTTTTGAGGTACAGTCGAACACGTTCTTTCCAGGAAGATTTCAAAGAGTGGCATACGGCACTCGCTCCAAAGTTGTTGGATCAGGGTTACAGCATGACAGGCCTTAGAAAAGCTTTCAAAAGGTTTTATGGAGAGGCCATTTGTGAATGTGACGAATCAGTTGCCAAAATGATGTCCGATGCAGTTCCCTATTTTGACTTGTACCACATGGGTTCGTGTTTTTCTCTGGTGAACTTTTGACTTGCCTTTGCATGTGTTTTTATGGGTGCCACCTTTTTCTGGATAGACCTGGCAGCATCGTTATTTGATAGTGATTCATAAACACATGCTCATGACATAGTCGGAATCGTACAATAGTTTCTGCTTTTATCTTGTGATTATAGAAATGGTTTTGTCCTGGTTTATTCGGAATGTGTAGGCGTCCCTATTGCTACTTACCGGGGTTGCAGAGGCTGTAAAATAAAATGAATAACAAATATTCAGTGAGCACAGCAGTAGGTGTTTAAGTACTTATTACATCAGAAACAGCACTGACGTCTGTCTCAAGAACAATTTCTCTAATTAGCCCTAAAGAATGTTAATGTTCATCAAACAATATATTATACTTTTACGGAAGCGTAGTAGGGCCAGGGTGAAATTTTTGTTTGTCTAAGTATCTCCTACGTAGGACTTAGTATCTCCTACGTAGGACTTATTATCCCCTACGTAGGCCTTATTATCTCCTACGTAGGCCTTAGTATCCCCTACGTAGGCCTTAGTGTCTCCTACGTAGGACTTAGTATCCCCTACGTAGGACTCAGTATCTCCTACGTAGGACTTATTATCCCCTACGTAGGACTAAGTATCTCCTACGTAGGACTTATTATCTCCTACGTAGGACTTAGTATCTCCTACGTAGGACTTAGTATCTCCTACGTTGGAGATACTAAGTCCTACGTAAGAGATAGTGATTCTAGGCCATACTAAGTCCCACGTAGGAGATACTAAGTCCTACGTAGGAGACAGTAAGGCCTACGTAGGAGATAAGGCCTACATAGGAGATACTAAGTCCTACGTAGGAGATACTCAGACAAAAATCATTTCCCCGTGGCCCAACTACGCATCCGTATATTTTGATATAACCTGGAGGTAATATAGTTTTGTTTGTTTGTTTCCTTTTTAACGCCGCACTCAACAATATTCCAGCTATATGACTGCGGTCTGTAAATAATCGAGTCTGGACCAGACAATCCAGTGACTGACATCATGAGCACAGATCTACGCGACTGAGATACGATGACATGCGTCAACCAAGTCAGCGAGCCTGACCACCCGATCACGTAAGTCGCTTCTTACGACAAGCATAGTCGCTTTTTACGGCAAGCGTGGGTTGCTGAAGACCTAATCTAGCCTGATCTTCACAGGTAGTGTGTTTTCGCACTCTTATTTGGCCGATAGGAAATGTCATGGAACCACCTCCAGAATTTGGAGGAAAAGAGTAAAAACGCCAAGGAAAAAGTCCTTAGTTTGTTGCGGTCGATAATGGAGGATCGAATTTTCTTGACAATACGTTCTCCGAAGCATATTAATTAAAAATGAGATAAATACAACAACAAAAGGGGATAAACTCGCCTCAGAAGGAACGAGGGCATTATGGTGATCGAAAACCCTTTGGTCGAAATTTCGGGGAAGATAATTTGGGCGTTTGTGGCGAAATTACATCCCTGTGCTCCACTGTTACTCGGGTCAGGGGATATACAGGAAAGAAGAGGACATCTGGTACTCACTCTGTGCTTGTGGTGGTGCCCTGTTGCCAGGAGACGGCGACCTGGGAACATAAATTGTGTGGTCTTTGATAGCAATTTTAAAATTGATTCCTGCAGACACCGGCCGTATGGATTTCAATTTCTGTATTCTCGATTACAACATTTCAAGGCTACTTTTTGTTCCTTAATCGGGTTGACGGTCCCTTCATCGGGAAGACGATCACTTCATCGGGTGAACGATCCCTTCATCTGGTGGATGATGCCTTTATCGTGTGGACGATCACTTCGTCGAGTGGATGATCCCTTCATCAGGTGGATGATCTCTTTATAGGGTGGATGATTTCTTTATAGGGTGGATGATGCCTTTATCGGGTGGACGATCACTTCGTCGAGTGGATGATTTCTTTAAAGGGTGGATGATGCCTTTATCGGGTGGACGATCACTTCGGCGGGTGGATGATGCCTTTATCGGGTGGACGATCACTTCATCGGGTGGATGATTTCTTTATAGGGTGGATGATGCCTTTATCGGGTGGACGATCACTTCGGCGGGTGGATAATGCCTTTATCGGGTGGACGATCACTTCATCGGGTGGATGATTTCTTTATAGGGTGGATGACGCCTTCATCGGGTGGAAGATCACTTCATCAAGTGGACGATCACTTCATCGGCTGGATGATCCCTTCATCGGGTGGACAAGAAGTAGCCTCGAAACGTTATGAATCATTAATACAGAAGGTGACATCCAAAACATATATATGTTGTGTTCAGAAGAGTTGAGAATCTGAATGAGTGAGTATGGTTGTAAACCGCTTTGGCGATATTCCAGCAATATCACAACGGGGAAACGAGGCACATCGTTCCCATGACGGGAAAGTCGACACACAGGGAGATACAGTCAATACCTAGATATTAACCATGCAGGGAACAGGAAACTATACTCACACAACCAGCAAGAATTATGAATGTTTCCCAGAGACCCATGGTCAGGTAGCTTGTGGCGGTGTCCAAGTGGTAGAGACGAGGCTTGGTCGAACAGAGAACGTTATAAGTCAGTAATATAGCATGTCATTGACAGCGAATGGGACTTCTCCCGGGAAGCGCTGCCTAGTCAAACCCACCCAAAACATTTCGGAGAATGTGAAGACTCCCCAACACCGCAGCCTTCTGTATTACCCAGATTGTCAGAAGGGCTGTATTCCCGGTTGCAAACCTGGGTACTCTCCCAATGTCAGTCAACAGATTAGGAGGTACCAAACCTAAGGCACCGAGAACAATAGGGAGTCGGATTACTTGGTACTTGGGATGCAAGCGTGACATTTCGAAAGCGACTTCCGCATATTTGCATATTGTTGGCCTGCATAGGTCTGAGGCTGTCTATGGGCCTATTCTAACGAAATTTGTATTAATCATTTTCCATCACGCACTTTGGGTCGTATCATGGATAGACCTCCGTGCCAAAATCACAAACATTGCGAAGACATTAATAAAAGGAACGAACCACTCTATCATGTCGCTTAAGATGCTGTGTTAGTGCCAATTATAATAATAATAATAGTAATAATAATAATAATAATAATAATAATAATAATAATAATAATAATTATTATTATCAAATGATGAGATGGCAAATGACATTACATACTTAAATCCATCATATAATACATTATCATAAAAAAACGCAGTAAATTCATACGCCTTTACATCGAGGCTTGTTATCCATGATTATGAGAGCGTCTCCAGCTAACAAGTTAACGAGTGAAATGCGACCAAAATACTCAAATACATAGATACATACTGGACATAACCTCGGAGACATACCTACCAGTGGCAGAGTGAGTGAGTGAGTGAGTGAGTTGCGTTTGTGGCCGCTTTGTGAATCGGTTATATGTCATTGCTAGACTCAGTCTGGTTCCCTGCCCTTTGCCTCCTTCACTTGAAGCTCGGCGAGGAACGCAAGGCTCTGGAGCCAGCAAACTAGTCTAATATCACGGCGTGTTGGCTAAGTGTGGGGGATCATCATCATATTGCAAACAGTCGTCAATGGTGTACACGACTTTGAAACTGAGGTAATCAGCGCCGGCCACGTGTCATGTTTTCAGATGAGTCCCAATTCACTTTCCTCTTCCTTTGTAGGCGTGGTTGTGTCTGGCGAGGTCGAAATGAACGCCAAGCCAAGGTTAACCTGAGACCTCATGACAGATTTGCCGGTGGATTTGTTATGGTGTGGTGTGGCATCACCATAACTGAGCGAAACCCACCCCACATTGTGCAAGGAAGGGTCACTGGACAGTACTATCGGTACAACATACATCCGTTTGCAAGGTGCGTGCGTCGACGTTTTGTCTCTCAGGACGACAACTTCCGTGCTCACCGTGCACGTATCGTCAATGTTCATCTCCAGCAGCACATCATCCATAGAATGCCATGGCCAGCAATGAGCCCAGACCTTTTCCCCCACTGAACACGCCTGGGCATGATGGGGAGGCGTGTGCGTCAAAGTAACAGGCAGTCGACCACGTTGGCTGAACGTGGCCAGGCGCTGCAAGAGGAGTGGAACAGACACCCTCAAACCGCCATTGGGAGACTCATACGCAGTAATACTCGTCGAGTGAATGAATGTTGACCAAATCGTGGCGGTATTACGCGCTACTGATCCAAAAACGTCAACTTTGAAATTTCCCATCTTACCCTCCGTTGGCGTCTACTATTATACATCACCACAACTCGCTCATCATTACCATACTATCACTGGAAACAAACATCAATACAATTACAATCTTACAATTTTAGAAATATAAAGTTATTTCCGAGTGTCCCCTACTTTTTTAAGGGTATATATTACCGCATTGCTCATGATTTATCCCAACGTGAAAAGTGAGATGCGAAGCATTTGGTTATGGCCATAATGCCACGTGAGCTTCAAGACGACAATTTGTTTAAATGTTTAGACTTTGAACACCACGTACACGAAACGTCAATGGCACTATACAGAGCGCTTGAACGTTTCGCTGCAAGGAGCTTGAATTTCGCAGATTATGGAGGTAGGTTAATATATGTTCAAATGACAACAGACTGTAGTTGGGTGCATGGAAATTGACCAAAAAAAATTCAAGTACCTGGGCACGGGTAGCCAAGTAGTCTAAGGCGCCGCAATCAGATATTGCAGAACTGCGGTCCTTGGACCTATGATCGTGCGTTCGAATCCCAGTTCGTTCCTAGTATGTTTCTAGGTTTGTCAGCACCATACCAATCCTCTTTGGTTTCACCGAAGTGGTAAACGTCTGAGACCTGCATCACAAAGGGTTTTCCTCCCACATCAAGCTGACACGCCGTGCTATAACTAGCGTACAGTTTAAAGCGGCTTTAAACCCAACTCACTCACTCACTCAAGTATTTTACATACGAACAAACATAAAATGCCTTACCTACTGTCTGAACATCAACCAAGGTTCACAGTCAGAGGAATGAAATGAAGCTAAACTAAATATTGTTTATATAATGTGCATGGCAAAACCATTAACATTGTTACTCGCACGTAATTAAATTTGAAATGAAGATTTCACAAAGATTAGGCAGGAACTACTCATTATGAAAGTGTGACAATTCGTTTGTAGATGCACCGGCTGCTGTTATTGTATAACCGAACATAATTTGATCTTGTCTTGATGGCAATCTCAGTTTTTGGCCAGTTTGCAAAATATCTGTGGTTGTAACAGCCGAAACTCGCTTAAATGCTTACTACCGAAAACACTGCAAAGTTAAGGTCCGCAATACAACCAGTATCACATCGAATAACCATGTTTAGCCAGCATCAGACATGGGTGTATTCACTCCTTTGCCCGTCAGTCTACTTCACAACACTGAATGCCATTTCTCGCCTGCCTCCAGGTATCCATCTAAAGGTTAGTGCGGTGTGTATGTTGCGGTGTGTATGTTGTGTTGTGTTGTGTTATGTTGTGTTGTGGTGCTTCATATGGTTGGTTAAGTAGATGATGTGTTGAAATACTAGCGTCAGACAGTGGAACAGACCTCCGTAGAACATTCAGCTCTCTTGTGCTGAGATCCGGGTTATAACTGATCTTCAGCAACCCATGACTGTTTCCTGTGAAGATCCGGGTTATTATTAGTCTTCAACAACCCATACTTGTCACCCGTAAAGATCCGGGTTAGAATTGGTATTCAGCAATCCATGCATGTCCCCCATGAAAATCCGTGTTAGAATTGGTCTTCAGCAACCCAAACTTGTCTCCCCTGAAGATCCGTGTTAGAATAGGTCTTCAGCAATCCATGCATGTCTCCCCTGAAGATCTGTGTAAGAATTGGTCTTCAGCAATCCATGCATGTCTCCCATGAAAATACGTGTTAGAATTGGCCTTCGGCAAACCCATGTTTTTCACCCGTGAAGATCCGTGTTAGAATTGGCCTTCAGCAACCCATGCTTGTCTCCCGTGAAAATACGTGTTAGAATTGGTCTTCAGCAATCCATGCATGTCTCCCATGAAAATCCATGTTAGAATTGGCCTTCAGCAACCCATGTTTTTCACCCGTGAAGATCCGTGTTAGAATTGGCCTTCAGCAACCCATGCTTGTCTCCCGTGAAAATACGTGTTAGAATTGGTCTTCAGCAATCCATGCATGTCTCCCATGAAAATCCATGTTAGAATTGGCCTTCGGCAACCCACGTTTGTCACCCGTGAAGATCCTGGTTAGAATTGGTCTTCAGCAACCCATGCTTGTCTTCCGTGAAGATCCTGGTTAGAATTGGTCTGCAGCAACCCATGCTTGTCTTCCGTGAAGATCCTGGTTAGAATTGGTCTTCAGCAACCCATGCTTGTGGTAACAAGCGACTAACGGGATCGGGCGGTCAGACTCACGGACTGGGTTGATGCATGTCATCGTAACCAAGTTGCACAGATCGATACTCATGATGTCAATCACTGGATTGTCTTGCCGAGACACGATTATTTACAGATGGCCGTGATATAGATGGAATACTGTGCGACGTTGAACAATAAACAATTATTAAGCTCTCTGCTTCACAGAACCAAAGGCATAGAAAGTATTCCATTCCATTTCCGTTTGTAAACACACTAGTTTAATGCACAACAATATGTGAAATCACGTTAATACGGACGCTTCCGTTCCTTGCGAAATCGATGGATCGATCCCATGGCATCGTCATACCAAATTACATAAAATGGAAACAGTTGTTACCCTGCCTTCCGCTCGGAATTAAGGGGATAAAACAAGGCTGTGGCATCTTAGCTCAGTGGCCTAGCACTATGACACCGGCATTTGTCCGGACTAGTACAAGCAGCCACACACACGCGCACGCACGAACGCACGTGCATGCACGCCTTATGAGTTTAAGAATCTTGAACGTAATGTTAAACCCAATTTCAGCTCAAGATTTGGCAATATCGTTCGATTTAACAAATTTCCGGATTAAAGACGTAGCTAGACGTAGACTAACTGTGTTTCACTGGATATCTACATACATGTAACATATGTTGTGATATATTGTATGTTTTCCCTTATTATATATGCTCTTTCATTTAGTATGTTATCGTGATAACATGTTAGGAGAAGGTACAGTGAGCCAAGGTGATCTGTACGCAACTCTTAAATGTTGCAAATAAATTTGATTTTAATCAACAGCAATATGAAATTAGTACAACCACAAATGGTCTCTTTTTACATTGTTTTACAAATTATTAAATCAAATGTATTAACGTAGTTGCGTAGCAAATATAGAAACCATTTTAAACTTTCTTCAAATAGCTGGTCACTTGCTATTGGCGTGGACTATTATCATCTTTCGTTCTTCCCCCTCCATAAACTAACACATCTTTCCTTTTGTCAAAATCGTAACGATAATATCAAGTAAATTATTATCCCCCGCCCAAACGAAGTTGGCGGGGGATATTGAAATGGGTTCTGTCCGTCCGTCCGTCCGTGCGTGTGTGCGTGCGTCCCGAAATCGCTTCCGGGGCATAACTCAGAAACCGTTAAATTTTTCTCTACGAAACTTTGCATGTCTATCAGACTCACGCTGAACTGGTGCCTTTTGCTTTTTAGGAATTTTTCATTTTTTTATTTTTTACGTTTCCATGGCAACAAATTGGACTTAGGTTCTATAAGGGTGGTGTTCATTTCCGGAGTGTAACTCAAAAACTGTTAAATACTTTCTTACAAAACTTTGCATGTCTATACTGAACTGGTGCCTTTTGCTATTTAGGAATTTTAAGAAAATGGATTGTTTATGTTTCCATGACAACAGGGGCGGTCGGGTAGCCTAGTGGTTAAAGCGTTCGCTCGTCACGCCGAAGACCCGGGTTCGATTCCCGACATGGGTACAATGTGTGAAGCCCATTTCTGGTGTCCCCTGCCGTGATATTGCTGGAATATTGCTAAAAGCGGCGTAAAACCATACTCACTCACTCCATGACAACATGTTGGATTTAAGTTTTAATATAGGGTGGGTTCACTAATTGAGTATAACAAATATACTGTTAAATATTTCCTTGCCAAACATTGCATGTCTATACATAAAGCACATACTGAACTGGTGCCATTAGATATTAAGGAGTTTTTGAAGTGTTTAGTTTTAGAATTCATTGCAGCTATTGTGACATGGGCTAAGAGAAATATTGGGGCAGTTACCTGGTTTGTGACCATAAAATGGGCGGGGGATATAGATGACTTCGTCGACTATACGCTTGTTACCTTTTGAAACTGGTTTGGTTAGTAGTGAGCACATAATTTGGCAACAATCAAATAAACATCAGATCGTTTTCCCAGTGTGCTGTTGTTTCTATGTGTGCTGACACTATTCTGTACAATAGGAGCGAAGGGCATGATGGCACTGCAGTTGTATCCAACAGATGACGACACTGAGTGAGTGAGTGAGTTTGGGTTTAACAGTATTCCAGTTATATCACGGCGTGTCAGCTTGATGTGGGAGGAAAACCCGAAGTGATGCAGGTCTCAGACGTTTACCACTCCGGTGAAACCAATGAGCACGGGTATGGTGCTGACAAACCTAGTAACATAATCGGAGCGAACCGGGATTCGAACCCGCAATCATAGGTTTCTGGCGTACCCAAGGGACGCAACTCTGCACAGCGAATCGCGGCGCCTTAGACGACTGCGCCACCTGCGCCATCAAGCTCCCAAACACAACATTGTGAGAGTCATGAAGCACGTGACCTCGGACAGCACATGAAAGTGATGGTGTGTCAGATTTACTATTGTCACTCAGATGTTGGCAAATGCATATTGTTTATTCGGAACCAAACGCTAATAGACACTTTTTGGAACAACGTGAGTCGGGTTTGCATTGGTCGAGTATCACAAGCACGCCTAGAAGAATTCATACTTGCCTGGAAAAAATGGCTGACTTTGGTGGCGATTAGGTTCCTCATTCTGGCAGTGTGGGTTCGAATCCCGTACTGGACTCAACCCCCCAAAAGTACGAGAATCTATACTTTACAAGGAAAGTGTTATCCCAAATATAACATTCGTTACATTGGTAAATGATATTCACTGCTTTGCTCCGTGCATGATATAGCAACCACCACCGCCGCTAGGGGGCGCGCGTAACCTATCTCTTGCTTCCGGGTTCAAGCTGACCTGGCAGACCAAGCAATTTCATAGTGATGATGATAATACAACAACAAACGGTTTTCCATCATGTGTTTTTTATTTACTGATTTACTACAGCAGAGTTTCAACATACCCTTGACGTATGTACATTATATACAAATTACATGTCTTTATGTATAATACTGTTCGCCTCCAGATTGGCATATTTACACGTGTTTTCTATGCATTAACGCATTTCATGACTAACCGCATGGACCTGGTGCTGCTACTGGGGTACATCTGTCTGCAGATTCATAAGGTATCAGAAGTACGGTGGCCCATACCCGCCACTGGTGAGATCATTTTTCCCTGTATGCCTCTATATTGTATCTGGCGCCGCCAGATACTTCTACTGGTGAGATAAAATATAGAGGTTTACAGGGAAAATGATTTCACCAGTGGAAGTATCTGGCGGCCGCCAAATATAATATAGAGGCATACAGTGAAAAATGATATCATAAGTGGAAGTATCTGGCGGCCGCCAGATAAAATATAGAGGCATACAGTGAAAAAGTGGCGGGTATGGGCCACCGTACAGAAGTGCTGGAGATGAAACATATAATCAAGCTAATGTCTTCACTATCCACAGAACATGAACATATGGAATCAGCATGGACAAAGTGTGAGTTAGAATGAGGATATAGAAAAAGTAAGAATATGTCATGAGTGTATTAAACTTATACCACCAACACTGCGTGAGCGGGGTTTTACGACGCTTATAGCAATATTCCAATAACACCACGGAATACCACGAACCGGGATTCGAACCCATAATCATGGGTTTCTGGCATGCCAAAATGAATGAAATAAAGCT